AGGGGCCCCCCTGCTCCTGGGGCGCTTGTGCTGCGGGAGGAGGGGAGCGTGCCTGCAGCCCGGGGGGGTTCGGGCTGCTCGGAGCGACCAGACGGGCATTTCCACATCCCCGTGTGGGTCTGAGTCTGTCAGAGGTGCCCGGCGTTGTGGTTTATCGGCTGCATTGCAGACACTGATCCCGAGCGCGCAGCTCACTGATTGCTGGGTAATTACCTGTCATTAGTAAATCAATAAACAGCTTCGATCCTGGTTGCATTGAGCCAACGTGATTCGGACGTTGTTTTCCCGGTGACAGGTACCTGCTGCAGAAGTCAGGATATCTTTGAAAAGATCATTGTGTTTTTAAGAAATCGTCCCCAGGAAAATCTGTCCGGGAGGGAGGGAGGGAGGCGCAGGGAGCCCCGCTCCTTTCCTTGCAGCGCTGCCAGAGCCGGCGGGCGATCGCTCTGCAGCGCTGGCAGTTGTCCCCGCAGCGCGCGAAGGCGCCATCAGACCAGCTCCCCCGAGCGCGGGTTTTGTGGGGCCTTTCTCTTCATTTCACTGCAAGCATTGTTTTTGTTTTTGTTTTTTTTTTTTTAAAGAGCTTTCCCTTACTGTTCTTGCAGTAGCTACTAAACAACCCAACGGTTTGAGGCCGAACCCCCTTAAGGAGAACAGAATATCTGTATGCAGATCTCCTAGGAGAAATCAGGGCTGGAAATCTCAGGGGGCAGCCGGTTAATTTTTCATGAAACACTTAACCACGCTGCCGGGCTGCTCTGTCACGTAACTGGTGATTTGGGCTCTGGGGCACTTGGTGGAGGTGCAGCCCCCGGCCCCTGGAGCCGAACACGGACCCGGCAGCCCCGACCCCCCGGCACTGGGGGATGGTCCAGCCTCTCAGTTAATGGTCCCAGAGGAGGGACGGAGCAAACCCAGTCCGCCCCGGCTCAGGGGTCCCCGCAGAGAGGCCGCGCCTGGACGATGCCGTCGAGGGGAGAGCAGAGCAGGAGGTTTCGTTTTTCAGGCGGGGGTAACGCGTTCCCCTCAGCCTGCGCCCCTCCAGCCCAAGTCAAGGCCTCGAAGGTTCCCCGGTCTCGTCCCTCTTCCTGCCTGCCCCTCGGGCTCCGTCTCCAGCTGACCCAGACCCCAAAGCCAGCCTCTGTTCACATCCGTCCTATTCTTCTCCCCTTGACCAAGTCCGTTCTGGTTTACTCTGTTTCTGTCCTCACAGTGGTTTGGCTTCGTGTCCTTGGGGCTTTGAAAGTTGCTTTAGCAAGACCTGGACATCGCAACGTCATTCTCTTTATGGGAATCTGCTTCGGTTTATCCAAAACATTTAATTGTCAGAGACCTCTGCGTTCAGCACCAGCTGGTGAGAGGCCAAGTTACTGTCATGCCTGAAAGGTCACTGCTCAGAAGCTATTCTCGGCGGTGCCAACGTGCCCCTTCGCTGTGTGCTGGCCATTATCACGTCTGTCTTTATGGCAGCTGAGGTTTGCGTAGTGATTGCCCAAAGTATAAAGTGATTCAGGAGGGATGAAAACGTAACACCATCTTGTTAACACTCTCTCCCACCTTATCAAATGTCACGATCGAGCCATGACAGCAAGGCTTTGTGCTCCCCAGGTGCCTGCCTGATCGGGTTGCAAGGAGAGTGACAACTCCTGAAGTACTTTGGCACCTTTGCCATCCCTTCCCTGGCCTTTAGCTAAGATATTTTTTAAAGCTGGAATTAACGTGTGACAAAAGCTGGCTAATCTGCTGGAAATACTTATTTCCAAGTTTGCAGAACGTATTAACTCCGAGCAAGCATTTTTCTGGACTGTCGTTCTTCAGGGCTGGGAGCAGCCGCCGGCCCTGTCGCTGATGAGCACAGCAGGGGAGTGAAGAGTTCACCCACCGCTGTCCCCTGGGCCGACGCGTCCTCCGCTGCACCATGGGGACACGATCTGCCCGCGGGGACACGGCTGGTCTGTGCGTTTTCATTTTCCTGCCCCAAAGAGCTGCTGCTCTGGTGCAGCTCGAGGCAGGGGCTCCGTGTGTCCGCGCGGTGCCGGGAGGAGGTAAAAGGGAGAAAACCAGCACGGCTGTGGGTGCTCGTGACGTGGTGGCTCAGCAGAAACCTTTCTCCTTTTCCCCTGCCTGTAGCAGTAAAGTATCTGTCAGTAAATGAGCCGTGATGGACCAGGTAGGATGCAATCTCTTTCCCCAGCATGGAAAACACCTCCACAGACCCGAGAGGGTGAAGGCCTGGACGGAGCTGACCCTGGGCTGTTCCTCTCCTGCAGCACGTTCGTTGCGTGGGCTGCTGTGGCGGGGTGGCCACTTCTCTTGGTATGTCCACACGGGGATCAACAGTCTTCAGAATGACCCAGAGCCTCTAGCCTGGGGGCCCCTGGCGTCCAGGCCAACGGCATCACCCTCCGCAGTATCTCCCTGCGAAGCGCATCCCGCCTCCTGGTGTGCTCTGAGGCAGAAGCGATGGATGTGGAAATAACTCCATGCCAGTTATCCCAGTGCAGCGTTTCCCAGTCGGGTGGCGTCTCTCCGAAGAGTCTGTCAGCTCAGGGTGTCTGTAAAGCCGTGACACCGGGTCGATACAACTCGTCACGTGTCCCCGTTCCTTCCCCGCTCAACACCTCCTTTTCCTCAGTCAGCAAATGGATTAGGATGGGTGCTGGTGGCCTTGATAAACGTTGGGTAAGGTCACAGTCTGCAGGCGAGTCGGGGTGGGAGCACTGGGTACGTCCTGCAGGGAACACCCGGCTCTATCTCCACGGTCTGTCTTTCCACTGAGGAAGGTGCTGCCTGGTCCTTCTGTTGTCACCCGTAACGCATGGCACGGTCCCACCGCACGGGCTTACAGGCAGGGCAGAACGCTCGGGGGTCCAGCACCAAAAACTAGAAGCACCTAACAGTGAGAGGTGGCCACTATTTTGACACATTTTTCAGTCAAAACCTGAATTTTATTTTAAAAAATAATGAAGTGTTTTATCAGGGCATGACTTTTCAGCCATAGCCACGTCCTGACGCAAGAACAGCCCAGTAAACGCGGCAGCGGTGTGCGGGCTGGCCGGGCCTGCCTCCGCACCCACGGGTCGTTGCTCAATGATTTACCTAACTCCTAACATCTCTAGGGAAATATTTGCAGTGGAAGTCACCGGGAACCATACATTGTTTGTTTTTCTCCCCCCCCTCCCCAATTATTCTGGATGTCCTCGATGACATCGTTTGCCTCCTTCCTGCTGCAGAGCTCTATATATGACGACGCTCGCTGCTGGTCACCTTCAGAAGACGGGACATGGGCTGGAGAGAGCCTCGCACTCAAGACCTTGGTCAGGTAAGAGCGCCCTCACTCCTCAGGAAGCGCGTTCTTAGCTGAAGGCTTCCACAGGAGAACCCTTAATGCTCGTTCGGGAGTAGATTTTTAGGAAAAATTGTTACTCTTGCCTGCTGCCTGCCTGAACCATGCTCCAACACGTAACACGCGTGGTGGCTTTCGCGACAAGTTCCTCAAGAACAGACGTGTGTGCGCGTTGTATCCGCAGCCCTTGAAGAAGAAAGCTCATTTCCTGGTTTTCATAAACAATTATCACTGAAATTGTTTTTGGTCTAACGCTGTTATCTGAGATAGGTTTTGAGCTAAGGTGACTTAGACCTCCCACACTTGTTTTGACCCCCTTCCGATGGGCTATTTGCATTGAAATAGATTTGAGGCAATGAAGTTCATTATGGTTCCTTCAAAAAAATGAAAATTTACTTCAAGTTTTAGGTCCCGCATAAATGTTTCCGTGACGCAGAAACTTTAAAAACTATTTTCTCCTTCTTACAGTTCTAGCAGAAGGTGCTTTGATGCAGAGGGAAGCCCCAGAGGTTTATGTCTGTGCAGAGATGATGACATTCGAACGAGGAGGTGCTCTCCTTACCCGCTGTGTTGGGGCGTCTCTCCTCTGTAGATGCCACTGATTTTCTTTCCGCGACTAGAGATGCTCGTGTTGTCAGGAACATCCTGATTTCCCATCGTGCGGGATACGGGGTTTTGTTTCTCAGAGAAATTCCCACCCAGAGCAGACGCATCCCAGATCTCCAGACCAGCCACCAGCAGCTGACCAGCGCTTGGGGATCAGAGCAGGAGCAACCGAACAGCCACTTGCTTTTCACTTGGCTGCTGTGACGGTCGGACTTTGGGGAAACTTGTTGAAGTTCTGCTTCCTCCCACAGGAAAGTCCCTCCAGGAGTTTTTCTGTGCCCACCAGCGTGGTGAGGAGGTGGGAGAGGTGCCAGCAGCTTCCCCTCTGACTTTGTTCTCCCTGACAGGCATTCCTCCTTTTTCTTGCCTCCATCCTCCTCTCTCCCCCCTCCGCTGCCCCGTGCTCCCTCTCCCAGCGCGGCACTGATGACAATCTCTTTCCCCAGTTCTCGGGACCGAAGATGTTTGGGTTCTCGGCTCTTTTGCTCCTCTGCAGCCTGATGACCCCTTCACAAGGATTCATAATCAGGCCCTCGGCTGCCAAAGCGGGTGTCGATGGTAAGTGTATGGAAGAGACAGGATTTATCTTTTTGTTCTGAGACCAGTTCTGTCCTTTCTGTCTCTTGACCATGCTCAGAAAATCAGAAACGGGTCCAGATCCCTTCAGCAGTAGTGGCAATGCTGGTAATTCGCATTTATAAAGCACCTTGGGGATGGCATTCAGATACGTTACAGTGGCCGGTGCCACCACCCCTGCTGTGTAAAGAGGGAACCAGAGGGATAGCGGCGGGGAAGGGACAGCCTGGCTGACACAGCGAGTCCACGTAGCTCACGCTGACCTCTCATCGTTTTTGCAGATCTTAAAGGTTCACAAGCCAAACTTGACCTCCAGAAGGTTCAAAGTGGTTGTGGCAAGAATCTGCTCGGTGGTCTCCTTGGAAAAGATAATCCTCTAGACGGAGTCCTCGGCAAAAATGGTGTCCTTGGTGGTCTCCTCGGTGGAGATGGTGCTGTTGGTGGTCTTCTTGGTGGAGGTAGTCTCCTTGGCCTAGATGGTGTCCTTGGTGGTCTCCTCGGTGAAGATGGTGCTGTTGGCAGTCTCCTTGGTGAAGACGGTGTCCTTGGTGGTCTCCTGGGCAGAGATGGTGCTGTTGGCGGTCTCCTTGGTGAAGACGGTGTCCTTGGTGGTCTCCTTGGAGGAGATGGTGCTGTTGGCAGTCTCCTTGGTGAAGATGGTGTCCTTGGTGGTCTCCTCGGAGGAGATGGTGCTGTTGGCAGTCTCCTTGGCAGAGATGGTGTCCTTGGTGGTCTCCTGGGCAGAGATGGTGTTGTTGGCGGTCTCCTTGGTGAAGATGGTGTCCTTGGTGGTCTCCTTGGAGGAGATGGTGTCCTCGGTGGTCTCCTTGACAAAGAAGGTGTCCTCGGTGGTCTCCTTGGCAAAGATGGTGTCCTTGGTGCTCTCCTTGGCAAAGATGGTCTTGTTGATAATCTCCTTGATATTCTTGCTGGTCTCCTCGGCAAAGACGGTCTCCTTGGCAAAAATGGTCTCGTTGGCAGTCTTCTCGTTAGAAATGGTGGAGATCTCACAGAGTGAGTGACAGTGGGAGACGGGTGTCCTTGGGCAGCCCTTGGGGTGTCTGGGCCACGCTGGGGAAAGGAGGCTCTGCTCCGGAGCCACTGTCTGAACACACGGGGCCCCCCGCTCCCCTCCTGGGGTGGGTTCACAGACCAGGGTTCAGGTGCTGGGGGGCTCTGTAGGTGCCTGCCATGCAAAGGTGCCTTCTATGTGCCACAAGCTGCTCCTGCTGGTGGGGATCCCCGCCGACCCAGGGCAGGGAGGACCCCGAGGCCACGGCTCTGCGATCGGCCGCAGCGCTGGGGGCTGAGGGGACCGACCGGGCATCCGCTGCACAAAGGGGCTACTTGCTGCTTTTCCCTTGTTTCAATCCTCCAGGGTGAAAATTCTGAACAACACCCTTCCCAAAATAAGTCTGCGCTCCCTGCCAGGCTTTGGGCACCAGGTGGGCTTCAACACCCAGCTGCTGGTGGAGAGCACTAGGTACGGCGTGTCCCTCGGGGGCGCGGCGCGGGGCTGGGGGGCTCCGTCTCTTTGGGAAGTAGACGGCCAGCAGACGCCCTGAGCCGCGTCCCTGTGTCCCCCCGCAGCGCGCCGGGCAGCGTGCTCTGCGAGCAGGTGGAAGCAGATGCCGTCATGCTGGTGCAGGACAAGTGGGCGACTCCGCAGAACGAGGAGGGCTGCAGGACTTCTGACATAAGCGTCCATGTGAGGTATCGCCCCGGCAAGCGCGGTGCGACGCCTCGGAGGCTGAACCCCCCCGGCTGCTGCCCTCGGAGGGGAGCTGCCCACCTTTCTTTTAAAATGTGGGCTCCAGGAAGAATATTTCTGGGTTGCGCTGGGAACCTAGTGCTAGGCCAGCTTCGGAGGGCTCGGTTTTGGCAACATTTTGGCGTGAACAGTGCAGGCGAGGCTTCTTATTTCTCTAGTGCAAAGTACTTTTCTTTTCCAGCCATTAATCTATGTCCCCTTTTATTTCTGTTATCCTGTTACCCAGACCCAAAGTGCCACTTCTGGATCAGCCTTTGAAACACCGACTTAGTGATGCCCTGCGCGAGCTGGTGAGTCTGCAACGTGATCTCCCTGTGAGCCGTGCGGGCAGGGCGGGCAGCGCAGGGTGGGCAGTGCCCGTGGACGTGGCTCTTTGCACAGCTGCGGGCTCAGCCGGGGCAGGCAGCCCGTCCTCCCCGCCGAGGGGCACCGGCACCCTGCCTTCGCCGTTGCCCGTGCCAGGCTCTCCCGAGCCACGCACTGGTTTAGTGGCTGCACTGGGCGAATCTGACCCGGGTGGTGAACCCCCCCTGGGCTTAGAGGGGCCGCCCGCCCGATGCTGAGCGCTGCTGTCATGGGGCACCCTCCCAGCCCTGCTCCCGCCCGCACGGCGCCTCGCCGGCAGAGCCGGGTTTTGCTGGTCCCAGGGCTCTGACCCCGCTCTGCTCCCCAGGGGTGCAGAATCGTCGGGAGCAGGCTCAGCGCGGTGAGCGCTCTGCTGGGCGCCGGGACCCGTAAGTGTTGGCACCCCCCTTTTCCTCTGCTCCCGAGTCGGCCCCTGCGCTTGGGGCTGGTTGGTTTAGTTTCACATTGGGTAAATGCTAATATTTTAACTTCCTAAAAACCCAACTCTCAGCTCAAGCACAACATTCAGTTTCCCTCGCCCCGGGCAGCAGCAGCCGGGTTTTCCTGCAGGAAGCCACTTCAGGAACTGTTGCTTTTAGAAACAACATTTTCTCTGCAAAAGGGTGCTTTGAAGTGGCTTGTCCAGCTGGGAGTGCTGGGAGCACTGGGGGCACTGGGAGTGCTGGGGGCGCTGGGAGCAGGAGCCGCTGCTGGTTCCAGCACCTTGGGGTACCGCTGGGTTTGGGGGCAGCCCCTCTGGCTGCAGCCTAAAGTTCCCTCCCTGTGTCCCACAGCTGCGCTCCCGCTCGGGGCGCTGGGAGATCTGCCCCCCTTCTCCATCCTCAGCAGCGACGCGATCCAGCTGGAGCTAAACGTGAGTGCCTCCACTGTCCCTGGCCCGGAGCCCCTGACTCGGTGACTTTGGGTAATTCAGCCCCGTGTGGTGGCCACTTGCCGAAGGCTCCTGTTAGCCCAGCTGGAAAGCTTCAGGAAAGCTGGGAGGTGCTGGTGGTCCAGCAGTGTCTGTTCTAATGCCACCACTGGTCTCTGTCTTATTTTTTACTTGCTAATTCTTGAGGGCAGCATGAGCCAGATTGGCTTGACACTGCTTAATGAAGCATAATTGCAGCACTCTCGCAGCTGTTAATCAGCAAAGGTTCCCTTCATCCAGGAGCGGTGGTCACCGCTCACAAGCAGGTTCCAGCTATAAGTGGTTCATAAAAGTTTGGTATGTAATTGGTAACGACCACAGTCGGGCCAAAAATACCGGCAACGCGTCCTCCCGAGCAGGAGACGTGCCAGGGGGTGCGGGGAGGAGCTGCGCCAGCCGCAGCCCCGGGCTCTGCTGGAACGGGCTGAAGCAGCCCCAGGTTTACTAAAGCTTCGACTAACCCCACGTGAGCCCCCTCGGGCGGGCAGGGTGCGACCGCAGCCCCCCGAGCCCCGCCGACGTCCCTCCCCTGCTCTGTCCCCTGCAGCTCCCCGCCGGGGACACGGTGGCCTCTGCTCAGGGACCACTCGCTGCCACCCTGCTGCTGGCCACGGGCCACCCGCCGCGGCTCGGCCTCCCCCAGCGCGCCCTCCGTGTCCTGATGCAGCCGGTCCTGGGGCAAGGAGCCTTCAGCCGCAACATCACCGGCTCCATGGTGGGTCACCACGGCGGGTTGGGGCCCTGGTCGCTTTTGGGTGACCCAAGGGTGCTCGTGGGGCCCAGCCCAGCCCAGCACGGGCTGTGCACGACCCCTCCCGGCCCCGACGCCGCTGTCCCCGCAGGTGCCC